ACTTTGTTCAGGTGTCCACATACTTTTGGCAATGTAATGTAGGTAATAGGGTCAGCCCACTAGCTCTCATCTGAGTTTCTGTTGACTGCCTCACCACCCAATTTATTGCAGTATTTGCCAGCCAGCATAAATAAATTCATATATACAGTATGTCAGAGAAAAAGCTTCAAAATGGAGATTGCCATTGTTTCAAACCTTTGATATCTACTCCATTCCGACTGGTCAGCAGCCAGTGGCAAAAGTGTGACATTTCCATGCTGAGATTACCACAAGACTCAGTGAAGTAAAAAAACAGAGCCAGAAACACTTAACATGTACACATAAACACATACATGCACAAGTGAATGCGGAGACACACCTGTGTGGGTGCATACATGTGTTTGTTTGGGAGTGTGTGCTTCTGTAAGCCAGAACATTTGTAGCAGTGGTAACATCCAGAGGGCAGTGTGAATCTCTCCAGTTCCCCATTATCATCTGCTCCCATGACAAGACCACAACAGAGAGCACAAAGTGTCGGGTGGTTGGATCTTCACTATCTGCTGTTTCTGTTCCCACAAACACTCACATGTTAAAACAGAGTACGCACCCTCAGACACTGCTATTTGATTTATTTATGTTTCTTTTTCTGCTTCTGCAACTTCAAGAGCCAACACACACACACACAGACACACACTGCAGAGAGATGTTAAAGGTTTGCGTGCATGCAAAATGTACAGATCAGACTTTATAAATTATCATCTTCTTCTCCACGTGTCGTCTTTGTGAAATCTCTTTTCCTCCATTTTTGTGTCCTTGTGTCCCCCACACTTCTATCCCTGTGTGACTGGACTTAAAAGGCCAGCTTGAGGGATGACAACCGTCGCTCACTTCAGAGGGCTGAGAGTCGGGGAAGATCGAGAATGGTGGGAGATGAAAGCAAAAATTGCAGATGAGGTAGAGCAGGAAGAGAGTAGTTTTAAAGATTTATAAAGGATTGACAGCTTCTGTGTCAGTCAAAAAAGCAGAATAACACAGACATGTTTTTCCATCACATCCACAACTTCTAGATTACCTGATTCATCAGTGAAAAATGTTTTCATCACTAGTACTTTGAGATTCCAGTCTCTACGAATGTAATCCAAATGAGGAAAATTACCTTAATTACATAAAATCCTTAAAACGTTTTTTTATTTCACTATTTATTTGGTCGTGGTAAAGACTGTATCATTGAGTTGCAGCTCAACACATACATTTTTTTTGTTTTTTTGCAATGGTGAAATGTTTTGAATATTCAAATTTCACTTTCCCATCTACCTCAACACTTTCTCTGGCAATTTTGCTAGAGTTGGTGAGGGGAAATTAAATCTGTTTATTAAAACTTCCAAAGATATTAATAATATATGTTCCCAATTTTCCATCAGCAACACATTTTATGATCTCTGTTTACTCTTAGGTAGCACAATGGTACTTAGATGAGGAAGGATGTTGCAGCTGCACAGCTTTTGGCTCAGCAAAGTGGCTGCACCTCCTTTTAACACATAATCATCAGAAGTTCAATGTGTGTGAATGTGTTTTGGTGACAAGCTAGTCCCACCTATTTTTTTTAATAAGTAATAATAATAAAGACAAAAAACCAGACACAAATGTATCCTTTCATTTGCGTCATTTCCTAAAACAGCTGGGCACTGTAGTTTTTTTTTGTAAATGTTACTCAAACAGGACTAAATGGTGCTTTTCTTAGGGACTATTTTCAGCTCGGGTTGATGCACATTAGGTGTACCAGCGTATGTGAGATTAACTTAACATCTATGATCTATGATGAACTACAATGGTCATGTTCAGTACAGTATGGCTCATTGTTGTGAACATTTTTGGACAGCCAATGAGGGATTTGCTTATATTGCTACACTGTCAGATTTTGGCTACACTTAATGGTAGGATGAATTCTTTTTATGGGTTTTGTCGACTTTAAGACAAATACAGAATAGATTCTAGAGAAGATTATTTAAAGGATTAATTGTAATGGTTTCAATAAGGCACACAGCAGTTGTGGTTAGGGTAAAATAAGTCTATAAAATGTCCTCATAAGTAATGAAAGTCACTGTGTGTGTTTGTGTGTGTGCCCGAGAATGCCATCTCATGCTGTTCCTAATCCTTCCCAGATTGAGGTCAGTGGGGCTATTGGAGGATCTCGGTGTGTTTACAACCCCAGCCTGACCCTTGGAAATGTTAAGATTGGCTGGTGCTATCTGATTGGTTCTGTCTCCCAGACATATCTGTGTGTAGGGATCTGATTGGCCCGGAGGAGATGAAGTCAAAATGTTGAATACTTGGCTTTCTGTTTTCACACTGTTCCCCAGGTAGGCCCACAGAAGTCCGCTTCAGAACGGGATTGGTGTTTTGTGAAGGGGTGTGTGTGTGTGTGTGTGTGTGTGTGTGTGGGGTGGTGCGGTTGTTATGGTAACTACCGGCTGTTCTCATGCCTTCAGCATCATGTGGGAGGGTTGCTATAGCAATGGCAAGTTGTAGCGTAGGTGTTTTGTTGTGGTAACAGTATGTCTATGCGAGGCTGCCGTTCACTCAGTGCGGACTAAAGAGTCAGAGTGAGGGGACTTGACAACACCAGGTCCTTCAGGGAGCAGAATCTGACATTTGTGATGCCCATAATGGCATTTTCTGATATATATATTTGCATATAAAAGTGATAAAACTGATTTGTTAACTCTATTCCACTGACACACATCCTCATATCTGTAAAACTTCACTCACCAAGCTTGTTCATTTTTAATTACTCATTTATTTATTTAGACAATCGCATAAGATCCTATCATCACAATATGATTCCACTGAAAGTTAGCAAATGATGATAATATTGAATAATAATTCCCCAGCAGGTGAAGATTCTCACTCTAAACCTGTAATAAATAAAGCATCTGAATATAAATGTGAATACAGGCCCATTAAGAGTCCCGTGTTAGTCATTTTATAATAATAATAATAATAATAGTTTTACTGCTGCCCATGACTACCATTTTCCTCCCTTGCTGCAAGGTTGTTTGTCAAGCACTCAAGATAACAGAGAGGTGGGTTAGTGGACATATTTCAGTCAGACCACATCAGTATTTTCAAGATTGTTTTAAACTATCACAGGAAACAGTTTATTCTTGTCTGGATAAGATACTTGTTCTGGATATATCTCCAGAAAGCAGCATCTCATTAGAGCGTCACTGTGTCTGACCCACCTGATTACTCACTTTCTTTTTCTGCCACTTCTGTTTTATCGCTGTTTCTGTCTTTGAGTGTCTTGTTAAACTCTAGTAACCAGATGTCAAGCCTCTTTTCTCCGCCTCCTCTATCTTTTTTCTGTGATCTCTCTGCCTTTGTTCCCCCCGTTTGTTTCATTAGTGGTGTCTGTTTCTCTGTTCTCGCAATTCCCCATCTCTCAATTTTACTTATGTTTTCACAAGACACAAGAACACACACACACACACACACACACAGGCACGATTTACTGTGTGTGTGTGTGTGTGTGTGTGTGCATGGAGTATGTACTGGCATACATAAAATCATTTCTGAAATAAAGCTTTACTCCTCCATCCCTGTTTCGTCATAGCAGGTGACTTGAGGAGAAGAACAGACCTCAAACATGCTGATTTGTAGTCTTCACAATGACAATCCCTTAAGAGCCTGAATAGCCAAACATCTTGACAAAGCACTCCACTAGCATAAACCCACACAAAGCACTTCCATTTTCAGACTTTTAAGAAGGGCTCACAGTCACCACATGGCAATGCAAGAAAGCTTCTCTCTGCATTTATTCGCAATTCATTTTATCCCAGCCTAGCTTAAATGGTTGACTGCTGTCCATTGTGAAAAACTGACGTCTTTATTCTCTGTTTCCCAGGCGTACACATGTGTTTGTGTACGCGGTTACACCATCCATATGCTTACCGCCGCAAGCACTGAGGTCATGCACTGCATAAATAATAGCGGGACAAATAGGATAGCAACCATGTGGGGCTACACACATCCAAACACAGCTTAGAGAGCTAACAGTCCAGATACTAGAACTACTTTTTTTAATCATGACCTTGTGACCTGTCATTAATGCATGAAGTTTTTGGAATCTTAGGTCCAGTGGTATCTATCTATCTCTCTCTTTCTCTCTTCAGCACACACTTGTATACAGCGGCGCCCTGGTACCTATCCAAAAATACTCCTGTAGCTCTTTTTTACGCTATATGTGTTTATTTCCGTTGATGTGTGGAGTGTTTCCAGCCTGCTGTCTTAAATGATACCATCTTGATGTCTGTTGCTTCCTTGCGGGCGACTGTCCCCCTCTCTCATCTCTGCCGTTCTCGACCATCTGGCTTGAAGTCCATCTTCTGTTCTCGGTTGTACTGCAGATACAGAAAAGGCTGGGATGAATTTATCATAGCAATTTTAAACTTGCTGCTGGTATTTTTAGTATGTGTGATCAGAAACTATTTAAAAAGGTTTAGTGAGAAGGGGTGCGGCTGTAAGATGCCTTGTCTGGAGCTGTTACGTCTATAGTAAACCATATAGGATGGAATCAGTCTGAAAGAAGTGCTGGAGGGGTTCTGGAGGGATCTGGCTGTATGAGATTGAGAAAATGCCATCAACACACGATGACATGTGAAATTCATGTATGGGAGAGGAAATAGAGGGCAGTCACCTCAGAACAAAAGCTTGGTTGCATTAACACCTTTTCCTCTCACTGGGGAGTAAATCAGATTTTGAAACGCTTACAGCAGAATGTTTATTTTCACTCTCGTAATAGCAGGTGTAAATAAAAATGTCTTATTGTGGAAGGTCCTCCACATTTAACAATAACAACATTGCATGGTAGGTCTTATAGACAGGTAGATGGTTTGTATTGTGTGTAAAGAACCAGATAACACTTTCTAAAATGAGTCATTCTAAACTGCCCTCACATCCCAAACACCCTCCACATGTCCCAACTGTGACTGTTAATTTTCTCTTTTTATTCATTTTTGCAGTAATCGCCGACTCGTTGACAGTAACAGCACCTGCCCAAACTCTGTCCAAGGTCGAAGGCGACACACTACAGCTCACCTGCGAGGTGTCTCGGACCACAATGCAACACACTCACTTATCAGTTGGCTGGTACCTGCGGTCCCCAGAGGACGCGGCAGCCCCGCCTCAGGAGCTAGTCACCTTGTCAAGGGACTTTGTTCTGCGCTCTGGGGGACCGTACCGGCAGAGGATGGCAGCAGGGGACCTCAGGCTGGATAAAACCAGCGCAACGGCCTACAGGCTGACCATTCACAAGCTGCAGCCAGTGGACCAGGGTCTGCTCTACTGCCAGGCTGCCGAGTGGATCCAGGACACAGACGGCAGCTGGTTTGCCATGACGCGCAAGCAGAGCGACAAGACTCAGCTTCGCATTCAGCCCACTGGTGAGTAAAGGGAAAAGATTCTGTGAAAAAGATGTGGGGGGGAAGTAAAGATGCTGGTCTACTCTTAGGTCCTCCTTGTCCTCTTGACAGTCACACACGCAAGCATGTAGGCCGGCTTCCTCTGATTGCTGATGGGTATCTCACACTAAGCTCATTAGCTTACTAAAAAGGGCTTAACTAAACCTCCACAGACTCCCCACTTTTGTATTTGTGTCTGTTTGATGGGCAACATTACAAGCACATCCAAGGATAATTTAACCAGCTCCAAACTGTGTGGGTGTTTGACACGAGAGGCCCATGGATTCCACATATACAATCTCCCAGGCAACAGGTGGCCCAGAGATCAGAAGCCAGAAATGTTTTTTTCAATTACTCCTCGCCAACAATTGCACCAGTCTTGTTTGTGCTTGAGTGCATTACAGGGAGAAACTATGCTGGTTTAGAGCGACTGCCAGCTCTGAAGGAGGAGATTGTCTGGAGAGAGGGGGTTACCAACCAAGAGAGGAAGAGGGAAGGGGGAGGGAAGCATGCGGTTGAGAAAGTAACAAGGGGTCCATATGTGGGAGGAACAAAGAGTGTGTTGGGGTGGCTGATGGGGGAGTAGGCCTCATGATAATGATCTAATAAGCTGTCAGCCTCAAGAGTTGATGGACCAGAAGCAAAGACGACTTTATGCCTCCTCACATGTACTTATAACCTCCCGCCCGACTCGACCCCGTCACACCCACTGCGCTGTATTCCACATCCATAAAGAATCTCTTTGTATGCCTCCAAGAAAGGGCCACGAAGATGGGTGATAAACTGCTTTGACATTAGCTCAATTACCAAGTCAGCACGCAGTGGCGAGTGTCTCATGCCAGTAAATCATTTCAAAGTGGAGTCATTTTGCCGCTTCTCCATTAAGCATTAGATCCGCTCTGGACCAATACAACTTGATGGTGCCCCAGATAGTGCTGGGTGGATGAGAAGGAGAGTGGGAACTCAGATATAAAGCAGGTTTGTCAGATGAGTTCCTGCTACTTCAGGGAGGAGACAAAAGGCACAAAGAGCTCCCCTCTCAGTACCCTTCGTCACTCTCTGTCTTCTCTGTAATCTATAATGGATGGAGGTGTTGTTGCGTGACAAAGAGAATACAGCAGTGTGAGAGCTCGAACTCAAGTATATGTGTGAATTCATTTTGATTTTTTTGTATGTCTGTACTCACTTATAGCCTGATGGGGGCACAACTTTTACACCTTCAGGCTAAACTTGTGTATTTGATGTTGCACCTGTCCATGTGCATATTTGAAAGGGAGAGAAGGGGGAATTTAGAAAGTAGAGGGAGCAGCTCCTCCATTAGACTCCTATTATAAAAGATGGAGTGGATCTCAAGACAGCCCCATCACTAGCTAATCACCCACAGCCTCAGCATCAGAGAGAGGAGCAACGGACAGAATCCTAATGTACCTTTCGCTCTCAGTTTTTACCATCTCTCTCTTTTTTTATTTTTCTCCCACCTCCTCCCTTGCTCTCACATCACCTCTCATTTTCTGCAGTCATGTCTCAGCACTGCACAGTTTTTCTCCATCACCAACTTCCTCCCTACTCCTTCTGCTACTTGCTCCCAATACTCTTCTTCTTTTGTTCTAATAAGCTCTAAACACTAACACATGCTGAACCTGTGAGACTGTTTTCTCTGCATCCTCTCAGCTGAACTCTTCCTGTAAAACATAGTCCTAATAGAGTTTCATGCTGAGTGGTGACAAATACAGGTTATGACCCTTTTAGCTTTGCTGCCCTTCCTTCACAATTAAACACATTTAAATGTCATAATACAATGTCTTCCTGCTCATTTAGCATATGTGAGGCTTTTTCTTCAATCCACTGTGTGCATTGACTATTTTCACCATTCACCATTATTTTGCTAATCATCAGTTAGTCTGTAAAATGTCAACTATAGAGAAAAATACAATCCAAAGCAGACATACAGGAGAATATACAAAATATAAGATATTCAAATTACGGTGACATAAAAACTGTATGTGTAAATGATATCCCTCTTCCTCCCATCATAATGTTCCCCTGCATAAGGAGCTCTATTCCAACAGCAGGCTTTGAACTTTTCCACATGAGTGTGTTTCTCAGGAAGTCTGTTTAAAGTCTTTGTAATTACAGCTCGGGGCTACCACCTTACTGAGACGCAAAGCAGCCGTCTCTGGTACATACTGTGCTCATCATCTGGAAATTAATACAGCAAATAAAACTGAACACACAGCCATACATGCACATGCAAAAACACAGCCACACATGCGCAGACAACAAAAATAATGTGGCCAAGTGGAAGAGCTACCACTAGCAGTGTTTACTTTGTCTTTTCTGTCTCGGGCCTTGCAGGAGGAGGAGGAGGAGAGCGCCTGACTCTGTTTCAGACTGCTGAAGAGAATTTTAATTAGATGTGTTTTTTATTGCAGAGGTGACACCAAGGGGGGAGAGGGAGCAGAGCTCTCTGAAAGATCAGCGTTTTACCAGAGCGATGCACTGTGTGACCTCAAGCTTCTCTAGTTTCTATTATCTCCCCTCTCTCTCTTCAGCACTAACTGATGCTATTTTATTGTCCCATCCTTGACCACCTTGAACCCCACCTCTACCACCCACCTGCTCAGTCCTCTTTCTCTCTCTCCCTTTTATTATGCAGGTTCAGCATGCTAAAAGACAGTGGATATTAAAAAAACAACAGTGTCACACATTTCAGTTGTAGCCCATATTTAGACATCAGTCTTGTCTTCGACATCAGAAACAAGCTGTTTGGGAACGTAACAAATATCACCTTCTTGAAGAGATCTCCCCACACCTACACTCTTTTCATTCGGCTGCTTTATTTAAAATCTAGTGCCGTATTCAAGGGTTTTGTACTTTTACTGGTAGTGGATACAGTTTTTATCTTACTTAGCCAAAATGATGTGCAACATTCAAAAGGGGGATTTTCGTTTTTTGTTTCATATATATCACAGCGTTATGTCACTGTTTCCTATACAATACATAACTTTTGGCAGCCACACTTATGATTGTTCTACAAAAGACTGCTTTAACCTTTATTGTCCTACTGTCCCCCCCCCCAAATCTTTTTCAATCAGATCGGGACTTTAGCATCCAGGTGAGCACGGAGCGACGGTCCTTCACAGCCGGTGAGCCGCTGGAGCTTCGCTGCACCATCGAGGCCCAGAATGTGCCAGAGCGTTTCTTCTCGGTGTCGTGGGTCTTCAGCAGCTCACCGGTGGCCGTGGTGGGCCCCAGTGCCGTGCCTGTCCTGGGCCCCGATTACGTCGCCCGCGAGACGGCTGGTCACATGACAGTGCGCAAAGAGAGCACCAACGTGCACCTGCTCAAGTTGCAGCACCTACGCCCCGAAGATGCTGGGAAATACATCTGCCGTGTGACCGAGCGGGAGAAGACACCCACAGGAGACTTCATCGACCGCAGCAAGAGGTCACGCAATGTCCAGATCACAGTCCAGCCACTCAGTGAGTAATAATCTGTTCATGAGGCCACTGGCTTGGTTGTCCTTAGTTGTCAATTACACTAAGAATGATGAGCTTTTCATAATAACAGTTTTATCTTCATGTAGGCAGTATGGGATGTCATACTGTGCTCATCTCCAGCTTCTCTCTGTATCTTTCTCTCTCGGTCTCCCCCTTTCTCCCTCTCCAAGGTGGCCTATAAGAGATAGCTGCACAGTCTCTATTGTTAACTGTGAGTAAGAGGGGAAAGGATAATGCCTCTCTTATTCCTGATGTATTTTCTGTTTGAGTGGATTGCTAAGGATTGGTAATGCAGCATTATGGTCCTTCCCATTTCCTTGGCTTAGCTTGGGGGGG